GTAGCCCAAGAGTTGGCGGTGGGTGGTGATGACTAGCTGCCTTCCCTCTAGTCTTACACTGCTAAATTAGGGACGGCTAGCGCAGATAGCCCTCGTGTAGCTTTGCGCAAAATTCAAAAACAAAAACAAATAACAAACTCTCAGTAATATATATATTACTTGTTCATAAATCACACAGCACTAATTGACAGTACTTACTGATTTGAACACTCCTTGCTGGTCTGCTTTATATCTTCTCACCCATTTCTAGCAATTCCATGACTAATCACTGTATCTTCAGAAGTTTTAAAATTCAAATCAGTTCTAACTAGTCCAAGATTAGTTATTCAATATCTACTGAAGGAGTTACACATCTGTGGAACTGATGTTAAATTCTATTTTAAATTTTGAATTAAGAGTCTATTTAAGTCTTTTGCATTGGGTAGGTCAAAATGCATACGTCACTACCTTTTACAGAATTATATTCAAAATTGAATTAAACAGCTTTATTTTCAATGTATATGAAAAACTTGGCATCAAAAATATAGTTAATAAATCAGAGTTTAATATTATTTAAGTTTTAAGATATTAATTTTATAAGGAAATATATAAAAAATTCTCAACCTGCAATGTGTCCTGTTTTATAACAACCAGAGCATCTCTATTGTCCCGTCTGTCTATTAACCTCCTGTCACCTTTGGTAAACTCCTGCTTTTGGTCAGCCATTACTGGTATCACATTTGACTGGACATTCTTGGACTTGCCAGTTATACTGCCTCCATGGGCTTCCATATACTGTTCTTTGAGCTTGATCATATCATCTATGTCTTTTGATGCTCTCTGCTTTAAGAACAGTGTCATGTAGTTTGAGCTGTGATCATGAACTGTTCACGCACTAATAGGTCTGCCAATCCTTCAAAACTATTTACACACCTTGCCATGTCAGTCCTTCTGGTGAAATAATGCCGTAGACGTGCCTGAAACTGAAATACAGTTTCTCCAGTGTCAGGTTTGCCTCCTCTGAACTTCCGATGAAAACCTTCTTCTGTAAGTTCATATTGTTTTAGTAAAGCTACGTTTAATTTATCATAATCCATGGTATCTTCTGACATCATGCTTGAATATACTTGTAGGCCTTTTCCTGTGAGAAGTGGGCTGAGACAGACTACCCAGTCACCTTTTTCCCAGCTCTGACTTTGAGTGAATCTTTTACATCTCTCCAGTAAAGTATCCATGTCATCTTCATCTTGCTGTTCATCAAATTTGGGTAGCTATGGTTGGTTGGCCCTGACTCCCTTTTCATTCTTGGGTCCTCCTTCCTTCGGTTGGGTGAGTTTTGCAATATCAGTTTGTGCTTTTATTCTTTCTGTTTCTAGTCTCTCCTTTCTCTCTTCTTTTTCAATTTGTATTCTTATTCTTTCTCTTACTAATCTCTCTTCTCTCTTCTTTTTCAGTTTGTATTCTTATTCTTTCTCTTACTAATCTCTCTTCTCTCTCTTCTTTTTCAGTTTGTATTCTTATTCTTTCTCTTACTAATCTCTCTTCTCTCTCTTCTTTTTCAGATTGTATTCTTATTCTTTCTGTCTGTATTTCCAGTCTCTCATTATCTTCTCTTTCCTTTTCTTCTTTCTCAAGTTGTCTTTTCTGTTGCCGTTCTTCTCTCTAGCTTTTGTTGTTGTTTGACAAACTCTCATAGTTCACCATCTTTTAACCCAAGACATCCTCCAATTTCTATTAATTTATCAAAAGTTGACATGGTTCTATAGCATGATTGTAATCTCCACACTATATGCAATACTACTACAGTTGTGCGTAAATAGACTTCTTTTTTTATCTGCTGGCATTCACATTTTCTTTTACTGCTGTTTACCACTGTATAATCCTGTCATGTTTTGTTTTTTGTGGATTCTTCTACAGTAGGTGTCTGTGATGGTAAAGGTAATGATGAATGAACAGTACAAACTACACTTT